TTTTTTGATGGGTTGCTCACTGCTCTCATTTCTGTTTGTGTGTGTTTGAATTCCTTGTGTTTCTGTTTTTTATATCTTGCAGAGATTATTGGAGTTGCATCTCATTTTCTTAATTAACACATGTTTGACTTCATCTTCTTCTCAATAAGTGATTGACTTAGGGGCCACAAACCATAGGATAGGTCAACCTAGCTTATTCTCCATCTCTAGATAAACACATCATGTATTCAATTTGGCTGATGGGTCTACCTCTTCGATACGAAGGTTTGGTAGTGCTAAGCCTACCCCTTTCCATCCAGTTTGTATTTCCTAGATTTGCATTTTTATTTGTTCCTTCGAAGCAAACTTACTTGTGCTACCAGTTGTTGCGCCACCACATATCTTTGATCATTGCTTCTTTCAAGTTTCAAGGTTTGTGGTCAAAGAGTATTAGTTGTACGAAGCATGAGTTGGAGGGCCTCTATATTCTTGATAGTGATATATCTAAAGCTCTTGCTTGTGTAAGGGTAGTAACTCCATTTAATTCTCATTGTTGCCGAGGACATCCATCTCTTCTAATATGAAATCAATTGTATCTTGAGTTCAACATATCTTTCTCATACTGTGAGTCTTGCAAATTTGCCTAACATCGTGTGCATTTGAATCCCAATATCAATGAGGAGGTAACAAATTAGCGGTCGTGTAACAATATAAACCACAAATGGGTAGGCTTTGAAATCATGTTAATTGGGCCTAACTACACCCCAAATTGGTCCTCAAATGGCTCAAAGGGTATAGATTTGCCAAAATTTCTAAATTACACTAAGGTCTCATAACCCATCAATCAATGCGAGATAGATAACAAGTACCATCATCATTTCCATTATTTTTATTTTTTTGGGGTTAACTTTAAATATATATAATATGTACCCAAGAGTTATGCAGAAGTATAGGCAGGGCATTCTCCAACAACCTAAAAAAGATTGCATATCCAAGAACCAATATTAGTGTTGTTTTTTATGCTAGTATTTTCTTATGATGACTTGAAAATAATGTTTTATTTTTGATGACCCCACCAGGTTTGCCCTGAGAATATAGAGATGAGATCACTCGAACGTGCTATCATATCTCCCTTACCCTTTATTCTTCAACACAAAGCGTTGATATTCGTGTTGCATTGCTTAAAATTCTTCTTCATGTTTTGGAGGTATTTTAATGTAATAAACATATTTAGAAGTGATTTAAAATTTATGCACGCTGCATCTATATATTTTATAGTCTTTTATATGTTCACACTCACATTTATGCACGCTGCATATATATTTTTTTCCAGAGGCATGGAGAAAAGCTGCATTATAGCTGGTCATATATTCTTGACGTTCTAAGGTGTTCATTGTGTTTGAAAAGTTATTTCCTTACTGATCTTCTGCTTGGTTGAAGTGTTTTTGGATGTATCCAGATCATCTCTTGCTCCTTTACAAGTTGTTTTGACTTTTGTGCAGGTCTGTGGCGCATGCCGCTGACAAGGATCTCATTTCTCTTGGATTCCAGGTGAGAACATAAAATGTTTTATCAAGAAGAAAAGTTTCCATTCTGACATACTTTCAAATTCTTATGCCTGCGTGTCTAGGCGTATATACTTTCTGGTTTTAGCAATTGATACTCTGGGTTTTCATGGGCATATTTAATGGTCTAGATCTTAGACACCATTATGATGTGTGCGTTAGTGGTTGTTAAATGCCAAGCCTTGGAATGCCAACTCGTGGTGCTATTAATACTACTATTGGGTATCATCATATAACCAATACTTGTAGTAATTTCATGATGAATAAGCATAGAGACATTGGACAAAATGATATGAACAAGATATGCTTAACAAAGTATAATTATTATCGATTATGGTTCTAGCCTTTCCAGAATAAAGTGTTACGGAGTATTCTTTATGTCTATCCTTAACAAATTTTGAATCTTAAAATGCTTACTTCTTTGAGTAAATTATATGAAGCAGAACATGTTATATTCTATTATAAACCATCTGTTACATCCTTTCTTTTTATCATTTTACTTGCTTGATGATTATTAGGAGTGGTTTCAACTAATGTAAATGTAATTCTTGAATTGGTTGATATTGTTTCCATTACAGTGCCTCCGCATTATTATGAATGATGGCCTTTCATCAATACCTACTAATTGCCTTCATGTGTAAGTAATAATTTGTTCTCACAACCGTACACCTTAGATATAAAACCATGTTTAAATTGTTTGGTGGATTACTTATTTTAGATGGTTAACCCCAATTACATGATTAGCACAGTAAACCTAGTTG